GCCTGTAGTCCCAGCTACTCGGGAGACTGAGACAAGAGAATCGCTTGAGCCCAAGAGTTTGAGGTTGCTGTGAGCTGTGATACCATGGCACTCTACTAAGGGCAACAGGTGAGACTAAAAAAATAATAAGGGTGGCGCCTGTGGCTCAAAGGAGTAGGGTGCCAGCCCCATATGCCAGCGGTGGCAGGTTCAAACTTATCCCCCATCCAAAAAAAAAAAAACTACAAAATAATAATAAATAAAAAGTTTTAGGACACTGATAGTTAGCATGTAATAAGCTCGGTTCCTGCCCTCAGAGTGTATGCAGCAAGCATGCAATTCCAAGCCTGTAAGTATTTGCCATTCATTCAATTTAATGAATCTTGATTAAACAAATACCATTGGCCGAGTGTGGTGGCTTATGCCCGTAGTCCTAGCACTGTGGGAGGCTGAGGTGGGTGGATTGCCTGAGCACAGAGGTTCAAGACCATCCTGAGCCAGCATGAGACCTGTCTCTACCAAAAAAGCTGGGCGTTGTGGCAGGCACCTATAGTCCCAGCTACTTGGGAGGCTAAGGGCAAAAGAATCGCTAAAGGAAGAAAAGAAAAAAAAAATACCATGTACTAGGGACTATACTAGGCATTAGGTTTACATAAGTGAACAAATACAGTATGCCCTCACGGAGTTTCCAGTCTCGTGGGGGAGGCAAACAATACAAAGGTACAAGTGTGCTATGAAGAAAAAGAACATAATACACCAAGGGAGATTAACAGAGGCTTTCTAATTTAGATTGGGAAGCCAGGGAAGGCTCTCCAAGAAAATGACATTTAATCTGAGACTTGACAGATGAGTAGAAGTTAGCCTGTTTAATTGGGGGCATATTTCAGACAGAAGGGAACGGTGTATGTCAAGCCCCTGGAACACGAGAGCATAGCACATTAGAAGAACTGAAAAAAGGCCAGGATGGCTGAAGTAGAGTGACCAAGAAGGAAAGGAGGACGGTCCAGATGATGCAGGGCCTTGTAAGCCATCTGTGTTTCATACTTTGGTTGTTTATTCACCCATACATACTATAAATATTTAAAAGACATCTACCAGCCCTAGGTAGACTGTCATGGTAGAGGGATGTCTACGGCACAGACTTTCCTCAGAGCCTGTTGTCTATAAAAGAGATTGCATAACTACAATGATTCAATCAATAAGTAATGTTAATTTATTCTCAACTATCCCTTAAGCCATCACACACTACACAAAGCTCACAGGAGAGGTACAAACGTGCTCAAATAATTTTGAGTGGGTTATAATTATTTTCACGTGAGATATATCTGTGAGGTCTTAATAAAACATCCATTCAACGATTCACTAAATCAATAAACATCTAGTGGACATCAGCTCGGCACCAGTAACTAGACTAACTAGACTAGCTACTGAAGTCAAACAACTCAGCGTTCTGTGGCAAAGACAGGTAGACTCCCCCCCCAAAAAAAATCCATTAAAATATTAGGTGCTAAAAACAGGACAACAGACTAATAGATGAGCTTTGAGGGACAGTTCAATGGAAGAAAGAGCTTCCCAGAATGTAGCTCCCCAAAATGTAGCTCCCATCTTCCTGAGTGGATTTGTCCACTTGAGCCCAAGTTTCGGTTTTTATTCTTTTTTTTAGCCTGATTCTTTTGAGGTTGCCTCCTTTTTCTTACTTTCAGCTCTCCCCCACTTATTCTTCCCACTCCGGCAGATTTCCTTTCCTTTGTTTATCTTGGCATCCTTGAAAAAGTCAAGATTCGAAGATTCAGGCCTGGCTTCTCTATTAGGTATGGTTGTATGTGATCTCCATTACTTAACTTCCCTGAGCCTGTTTTCCCATTTCTACAATGAAGGGATCAGACCACAGCTAAGGCTTGTGATTTACTCCAGTAAAGATGATATTCACACTCTCCTGCACACAGTGCCCTGCCTGGCCTTCCTTCCTCTGCACCCCTGCACCCATATTCCCACTCCTTCCCACACGCCACCTGGCAAACATAAAGACTCAACTTAGATATCTTCCAGGTCAGTCTTCCTGCTTACGCCACACACATTCTTTTAAGCTACCATTGCTTCGTGCGAGGCCACATTATGAAAAGGGCAAGGAAGACATAAAGACTTGGATTTGAGGGCGGCGCCTGTGGCTCAAAGGAGTAGGGCGCTGGCCCCATATGATGGAGGTGGCGGGTTCAAACCCAGCCCCAGCCAAAAACTGCAAAAACAAAAAAAAACTTGGATTTGTATCGTGGCACCTCACCTGATCTCTTGAGCGGCAGTTTCTCACTTGTAACAGGATGGAAATGCCTAAATGTATATGTCTAATATAAAATTAATATGTCTATGTCTATGGGGATTAATAATAATGCAAAACAAGCGCTTGGCACCTAAGAAGTGCTCAATAAACAGCGGCTGTACCACACTTCGGAGCCCTCAGTGGACTTAATCATAGAGTTTCTTGTTGGTTTCCGGCCCTGAACTGCAAGCTGCCTGGGGGCGTCCGCGCAGTGTAGGAGGCAAAGACGCGGAGGGAGTGGGGTGAGCCTGGCCGGGCCCTGAAAGACGCGATTCCAATTCCCGGAGGGTAGGCAAGAGGGACGGACCCACCTGCAGGAAGTGACGCCATGGGGACGAACAGAGGAAGCAGGAGCCAACCGAGCGGGGCGGGCTCAGCATGGCGGAAGCGGAAGGGAGTTCTCCGCTCCTGTTGCTGTCGCCGCCACCCCCGCCTGGCATGGCGGAAGTGCAGTCGCCGACGGCGGCCGGGACGGACATGAAACAGTACCACTGCTCTGGGGGTGTCGCCATGGACGTGGAGCGGAGTCGTTTCCCCTACTGCGTGGTGTGGACGCCTATCCCGGTGCTCACGTGAGTCTCCTTTGGTGTTCTCCCCGGGACTGGGAAAGCCGGAGCCCGCACGGCGTCTTTGGGCGAACCCGGAGCAGCCTCCGGACCCGAGACACAGAAGGTCCTTCCCTCGGGTCCGTCCCGCACGCTTAATGCAGTCACCAGAACCCCGCCACCGGTGCAGCCCATTTCTGCTAACGGTTTTGGCACGCTTCCCAGTCTAGACAGAGAGAAAGAGATGTAGACCGGCGGGAAACCGGCGGGAAAGGGCATGTGGCTGAGAGGTTGCACGGATATAGAAGTGGGCCTTTTAATCGGGTCTGAGAAGACATCATTCATTCATTAATTTACTCGTTTATTATTGAGTAAATTCATTCATTGCTCAAAGGCTTATAGATTAATTCCTCCACGCAAGACGGCCTGCTGGATCTGGAAGGAAGAGTGAGAGTTTGGGACCACACTGGCATTTGAGATGTCAACATTGGTAGGGCCCTCAGACATCTGGGAGTCCAACCCCTCTTGTCTCGGAACCATCTCAATTGCAAATCGAGTTTAGGGGCTAGGATGTCTGCCTGCCAAAACAAGGTTCTTTCTATAGTATCTCTTTTTGTCAGGAGAGAAGCCGTTGCTTGGGTCCTGCTTGCTACCTTTTAGCCAGGAGCTCCTAGGTGAACGGAAGTGGTTCGATCTCTTGCTTCAGCTTTGACAGCTGATAACAATAACCTTTCTTAACCGTGCTGGACAGTTTGCCAAGCTCTTTCACACCCATTTCCTCTGAATTTCTGTTTAAGATAGGAACTATGTGCTAAGATGATGAAACTGAGCTCCTGTAGTATTATCTTGATCAAGCTCACACTTTTACTCTAAGTAAAAGCATTTAAAACTGTTCAGATTCTAACTTTCAACTACATCTTATTCACTCTCACCTGATACAATAGTTTTGTTTCCTCTGTTAGAAACAACCAAATGATATGGGGAAGGGATCAGTTTGGGCCTTCTATGTTACTGATCCTAAAATGACCTTAATTTTTGTGTGATGTTAAAATAATTACTAGGTGCTTTCAGGCAGAGCACGGTGGCTCATGCCTGTAATCCTAGCACTCTGGGAGGCCAAGATGGTGGATTGCTTGAGCTCATGAGTTTGAGACCAGCCTGCGCAAGAGTGAGACCCATCTCTCCTCTTCCCACCCTGGCAGGATTACAGGTGTGAGCTACCATACACAGCCAAAAATAAATTTTTTGTGTTCATTAATTCATTTAACATTTTTTTAACACTCTATGGTTTATTTTACAAGGGTACAAGTGACTCTTTCTAAAAGTAGAATATAAACGTCTTTTTTTTTTTTTTTTTTTTATGAGTCTTTATTTTGTGCTAGTGTTATAAATACCGTTGAT